GCCCTTCGTTCATCTCAAGGTCAAATTCCCTCCATTCCCCAATCTTTCCATCGTCGTATGTATGATGAGTCCACAAAGAACCGTTTGGGTAGATACCACCCGGAGGATGGTCGCCTCATAAGGAATGGCGTGTGGGACGCCATTTTGAGGACATAGGGCTTTATAAGATACCGCCTGCTTGGTGGCCTTCTGACCTGAGCTATTCAGATTTTTATTCAAGTTCATCAGACACCTCGGATTCTGATGGTGAGTTAACTGTTTAATTTTTTCTTTTTCCTTTTCGTTGTGCTTGGCGTGAGGGGTATTGGAGGTGACAGGAGTGTTAATAGGGTGGGTTGGACTATCTCGTTTCCTTTTGCAATGGTCTTCCTGGCGTCAGTGAGGTTTAGAGGATTGACTGTGTGTTTGTCGCTCCTAGGTAGGACTTAAAAAGATTTTCCAGACTTATGGCGACTGTTCAGTCGGACGACGGTCTCGGGGCGCGGGAGTGGGTTGATTCAGTGGTGGCCTCAACCTCTTCAAGCTACTCTGACAAGAGCATCTTACGCAGCCACTATAAAGGTGAGCCTAGCTTCAGCATAACTGAAAATGGCGCAATGGAGGCGAAGTGGCAACTGGTCGCGATCGGCGCTGATCGTCGGGCTTGTGACGCGCCTCTTATGGCGCAGCGATCACGGTGGCGATTTATGGTGTACAAAACGCACTTTACTGATCAGAAGGTGAGGTTTCCGTTGTCCGAGTTCGAGATGGAGGTGTTATCTCACTTACAGGTCGCGCCTTCGCAACTGCATCCCAACGTTTCGGCGTTTGTCAGAGTTTTTGAGAGTATATGCAAGTATTTCGATATGGCCTACTCTGTACGATCATTCTTCTACTGTTTTCAAGTGTCGTCATCCAAGAAGACGAAGCTTGGTTGGGTTTTATTGAAGGCGGGCAATGCGATTGGATCAATATTTGCCCAGTACGCCAACTCTTATAAGAATTGGACGCGTACCTTCTTTTGGATTGAACCAGTGCTAAGCGAGGGCGAGCTCCCTTTCTTTGTTGATCCGTCGAGTGGGGAGTGTCGGTTTCCCTTATACTGGACTAAGGCTCACTACGAAACGCCGGCCGGTCAATACTCGTTTGCTCTAGGGGTCCTGTCTCCTGGGGAGGTACAGGCGATCAATTGGTTTTTGGAAGTAAAGGGGGGTCTTGACCGGTGGCCCACGAAGCAAGTGTTGTGCCATGGAGGTGTGGTGGCGTTCAATGTTGTTTTATTTGTGGCGGTTTATTCTGTCGCTTCTTGTGTTTACCCTTTCTTGTGTTTATACTGACTCGTGTCTTTATTGTTTGTAGTTGGAAACATGGCGACTGATGCGTTGAAGCTTGTGCGTGATGCAGCAGCTAAAGTGAGGGCCAAGCAGGGCGTAGCGCCTCAGATTCAGACCATCCTTCCTTCAAAAAGGAAAAGCTTGGACAAGGGGAAAGCCATAGAGGTCAGCCCTAAAAAGAAGAAAGTTCGGTCTGCTGCTGACATCCCTGCTGGTGAACTTGAGAAAGGGGCTAATCGCCCTATTATTATAGATCCAACTGGCGTGACTGGCAACTCTTCTGCAAGTGAATCAACTCTTGGTTCTGGATTACGAGGTGCGACAGCGAGCTTAACACCTCTAAGATCTTCCCAGGCGAGGCGCACTGAGCCTTCTGGGGGCGGTCTGACCCGGGATGGCACTTTTGAAGGCGATCCGGCAATTAACAACGCTTCGGGAGATGACCACCCTGCTGAGCCGTCTGAGGCTGTAGGTTCACCTCCTCTTCCTGAAATTCTTGTGAGCATGGCGCTCAGCTTGTCGGAGAGGGTCCTTGTCCACGGCTTCCCCAACATCAGGCGTCCCAAGATGGTAATGCCTGCGCGTTTCGACCATCAGCAATACATGGACTGCACCCAGTGGATAATTGGTCGTCTCCTGGACCAACAGGAGATTACTCTGCATTTTGAGGAACGATGCTCCCAACAGGAGGATCGTATTGTTGATTTGGGGCGGCAGGTGAATAGCTTGACCGCTGACGTAGGGCGCCTTGGCAAAGAAGTTGCTGACGGGAAAGCTTCTTCAAAATATCTGACGGCACAATTAAAAACGGCAGAGGACGCGGTGAAACTATTGACCGCCGATAAAAGCAACCTGAGTCTGTCAGTGGAGAATTTGAAGAAGGAAAAAGAGACTCTTTCAGCAGAGAGAGATCAATTATCTTCAGATTTATTTTCCGCGCAAGGGAGCCTTCACGCCAGGGATGACGATTATAAGAAGGCTGTTGAGCAAGTGGGGATGCTGGAAGAGGCTCTGGCCGACCTGATGTACGATTCTTTCAACAACGCCCTCAAACAGGTTGTCGTCAGGTATCCTGGTGCTGACTTGACTGGCCTGGATCCGTCTTATGATGTAGAGGATGGCCAGATTGTAGAGCGCCTTGAAGGTGATGGTGTGAAGGTGATTGAAACGTCGCCAGAGACTGACGACGATGAAGGGGCTCGCGGCGTGCTTCATATGACTGACACGGACAGTGATCATACGCGAGATGGTGATGGGCGTGTTACGTCAACTGATCCTGTTATTTGTGGCGATGGTACTGATAACGTGACCGCTGGGCAGGTTGAGATTGTTCAGGCGTCAGTGGCGGTTGCCTCAGCAGTTGAAGAGGACTCGATCGTTCAGGCTCAGGATGTTTAAGATGTTTTGGCGACCGTTCAGGCGCCAGTTGTTTTTTTTTTTTGGCGCGGTTGGTATGTCAACTGCGGCCTTTATGTTGTAAAAACTATCAATATCAACGAGTGGATTTTCTTTGCATTTGTCATTTTTCTCGCTTTATCTAAAGGACCACTTTGTTTTTCATGTCTTTTCCTGCGAATTAAGCCTGATTTAAGGGCGTTGTCTGGGGGTGAGGACCATCTCAGTCCAACTGCGGCAAGGGTGAGAACCATCTCGCTTGTTGGGTGTTGGCTGGGGGTGAGGACCGTCCCAGTCCAACAGCGGCGAGGGTGAGAACCATCTCGCTTGTTGATTAATTTAACAGTATAGGCGGTCAATATTTGCTTTTTATTGAAAATGTGGGACCCTGCCTCATTTAAAACCTTCCCTAGTAAAACCCATTGGGACAAAAACTTAGGGAAGGAAAAGAGTGCAGGTGAAATTACATGGTATTTTAACTATAGTACTTTTTGAGCTTGTCCGCGTTCCACGCCCTTGGGATCGCCTTTCCATCCAACGTCTCAAGTGAGTATGCTCCTCTTCCCAGCTTGTTTGTTATACGGTAGGGACCTTCCCAATTAGGGGCGAGCTTCCCTTCCCGGGCATTCTTGTTTCCGACGTCTGCTCTTCTGAGAACCAAATCCTTCTCTTCGAAAATTCGTGGAATCACTTTCTTGTTGTAACAAGTGGCTGATCTTTCTTTTGTCTGGCGATCGTTGTGGGCGGCGTGTTTTCTTACTTCGTCCAGCAGGTCCAACGCTTCTTTCAAGTGCTGGTTGTTGGTGACCTCTGTCACGTGCTCACGTTGCCATGAAGGCTGGCCTATTTCCACTGGTATCATGGCTTCGGAACCGTATGTCAGCCTGAAAGGCGTTTCTCTGGTGGAGGACTGGGCGGTAGTTCTGTACCCCCATAGGACGTTGTCTAGATTTTCTAACCATGCTCCTTTGTGGGTTTCCAACCTCTTCTTGATTCCTTTCCCCAACATTTTGTTTGTAGATTCTACTAAGCCGTTGGATTGAGGGTGTTCTACAGCGGTAAAGTGATGTCTAATCTGTAGACTGTTCATCAATGCTCGGAACTTGGCGTCAGTAAATTAAGTGTCGTTATTAGTAATGACCTCCCCAGGGATACCAAATCGGTAGACAATGCTTCTCCAGAAGAACCTTCTTGCTTTTTGGGACGTGATAGTAGCTAAGGGTTCTGCTTCTACCCATTTGGTGAAGTAGTCAATGTCGACGATTAACCACTGGATTTGCCCAGCCGCCTTGGAGAAAGGCCCGAGGATGTCAATTCCCCACTTGTAGAACGACCATGGAGATGTGATCGATGCCAATTCTTCGGGTGGTGCTCTGTGTATGTCAGCGAATCTTTGGCAGTTTTCGCATTTCTTTACATGCTCATGAGCATCACGCTCCATGGTTGGCCAGTAAAACCCTGCTCTCAATGCCTTCTTTACCAGTGAGTGACCGCCTATGTGATGGCCGTTGATACCTTCATGAATTTCTTCAATTACGTACTGGACGTCATTAGGGTTCAAACACTTCAGGAGTGGGGTCGAGGTCCCTCGCTTGTATAAACATCCCTTGACTAGGCAGAAATGTGCGCACCGCCGTATTAGCTTTTGACCTTCACTCCTATCTGAGGGTAACACCCCTTCGGCTAAGTAGTTGATGATAGGCGTTGCCCAGGTTTCCTCAGTGGCGTCCTCTGGGGGGTTAGAAATGCTCATTACGATGCACGGGCTTGGCATGTTGTGCTGGATTACCGATCTGTTGTTCCCTGGGCTTTGGGTGCTTGCCAACTTGGCGAGGATATCTGCCCGTGTATTTTCAGATCGCCTTATATGCTCTATTTCAACAGCTTCAAAACTTTCAATCAACTCCTTTACCTCCTCCAAGTACCTGCACATTAATGGTCCCTTGGTTTGGTATTCGCCTGAGATCTGGAAAGCTAACAGTTGGGAATCTGTGAAGACTTTAAGGCGTCTGGCGCCCATTTCTTTTGCTTGGAGCAGTCCTGCTATCATGGCCTCATATTCTACCTGATTGTTCGTAGCGTTGAAGTCAAAGGTCAGAGAATGTTCGAGTGCTACGCCATCTGGGTTCTCGACTATCATCCCAGCGCCCGATCCTTTGGCGTTCGAAGAGCCATCAACGTACAACTTCCAGTTACCAGCTGTAGGCATTTCAGTTGCATGCTTCTCCGGATGGGGGTTTGGAGTCATTTCAGCGATGAAATATGTCAAGGCTTGGGCCTTAATAGCCGTTCTTGGTTCGTAGGCGATCTGGTATTCTGATAGTTCTATCGCCCACGACATCATTCTTCCAGCCAGGTCTGGCTTATGCAACACTTGTCGAATTGGCTCGTTTGTTCTAACAGTGATTGGATGGCACTGGAAGTACGGCCTTAAACGCCTTGCAGCAAAAATGAGTGTTAATGCTACCTTCTCGACTTGCTGGTACCGGAGCTCCGCTCCTTGTAAGACTTTGCTGATAAAATAGACATGTTTTTGTCCTTCTATTGACTCCTTGACTAGGGTCGCGCTGATTGCCTCTGATTCGACGGCGAGGTATAAGTATAACATTTCTCCGTGCTCGGGTTTAGAAAGTACTGGTGGGCATGAGAGAGCCCTTTTGAACTCCTGAAAGGCGCTCTCGCATTCTTCTGACCACCGAAAGGCGGTCCCCTTTTTTAACAACCCGAATAGGGGGAGGGACTTATGTGCTGAGTTTGCCAAAAAACGGGCGAGGGCCACCAGCCTTCCAGTTAGCTGCTGAACTTCCTTGATTGTCTGCGGGCTTCGCATTTCAATGACTGCCTTGCACTTGTCTGGGTTGACCTCTATGCCTCGCTCCGTGAGCATGAAGCCAAGGAAATTTCCCGCGGGAACACCAAAAGCGCACTTGCTGGGGTTGAGGCGCATGTTAAATTTTCGCAGTCTTTGGAAAATGCCTTGGAGATCAGCTAAATGTTGGTCTGCCATTTTTGATTTGGCTATCATGTCATCAATGTAAACTTCTATACAATTGCCGATCAAGTCCCTAAAAACCTCATTCATCATCCTCTGATATGTGGCGCCCGCATTTTTCAACCAAAAGGCATCATCGTGTAACAATAATTGGCGTTCTGAGTAATGAATGCCGTTTTTTCTTGATCTTCCTCTAACAACGGAATCTGATTATAGCCTGAATAAGCGTCCATGAAGGACAACATCTGGAAACCTGAGGCGTTGTCAACCAACTGGTCGATGCTTGGGAAAGGATAGGCGTCCTTGGGGCAGACCTTGTTAAGATCTGTGTAGTCAACGCACATTCTCCACGCGCCGTTTGATTTTTTTACTAACACTGGATTGGACAACCAAGTTGTGTACTTGATTTCCCTGATGAACCCGGCGTCGTGGAGTCTTTTGATTTCTTCATCAATGACCTTCTGGCGGTCCAAGCCAAACTTCCTCTTCTTTTGCGCAACTGGTTTTGCTTTAGGGTCCGCCGACAAACGGTGGCAGCATATGTTTGGGTCGATACCTGGCATATCGGACGGTTTCCAAGCGAACAAATCTTTGTTTGCTTTTAACAACTGTATCAGCTTTCTTTTTACTTCGGGTTCGATTGTTGCCCCGATTGTTGTCGTCTGGTGATGCTCCTCGCCCACCACCACGTGTTCTAATGCTCCGTCAGGCGTGGGTCTGGCGTGCTCAACTCTAGGGTCGTCCCTGGCGTCAAAATCCACCAAGAAGCACAGATTGTGCTCGTTCCTCCTTCCGGCGGGTTTTCCTTCCACTGGGGATGTCTCCTGCTGGGGTGTCGCTTCTTTTTTGAAAGTAACCTTTGCCATTCGCCGCAGAGAAATATTGTAACAACTTCGGGCAACAATTTGATCTCCTCTTATAGTAGCTATGTTATTATCTCTGGCTATGAACTTCATTGCCAGGTGGGGTGGGAGATGCTCGCCTCAAAGGCTGCAAACATCCTCCTGCCTAGGATGGCGTTGTAAGCGGATGGTTTATCCAGCACTAGGAATTGGATGTCTGCAGATCGTGAAGTTGGCGGCGTTCCAAGCGAGAGACGCAAACTTATCACCCCAAAGGCTTCGTGGTGGTAGCATTGAAACCTAAAAGTTCACCTGCGACATGAGTTAAATCGTTAATTGTGAACCCTAATGCTTTGAGACATGGCAAGAATAAAATATCGGCTGAGCTGCCGTGGTCAACAAATACACGGTTGACGCCGTAGTTGGCGATTATTTCTTGGATGACAAGCGGGTCGTCGTGCCCGGGGAGAACGTCCCCCAACTCGCTGCTGTCCCAAACTATGTTTGGCCTGGCTGGGCCAGGGTGCCCTTTCTCTTTGCTGATCACCTTTCCTGCGATCGCCAGACATTGTTTTACGTGTTTTTTCCTGGAGTTAGACGTTTCACCCCCGCCGCTTAAACCTCTAGGGCGCTCGGGCGTGCTACTATGCGCTCGAGCGTGCTCCTCGAGGATAATTTCTTGTCTTCTTGGGCGCTTGAGCGTGCATCTGTGCGCTTGAGCGTCCTGGATTGCTCAATTTGGCTGTTTTCCCTGCTATTAAGCGCTCGAGCATCCTCTGTTGCGCTTGAGCGTGCTCTTCTGGCCCTTGAATTGTAATATTTTGGCTTCCTTTGGTTCCATATTGAGCCGCTACTTCTTCGTCATGATTTCTTTAGCAATTTTAGCAACAAATCTTTGTGGTTTTACCTTCAAAATGAAAATAACATCAAAACGTCAGCTCAATTTCCTATCTTATGACTTATATGTTGTATAACCTTGAATTCCATGCATTCTACTACATAACTCTTGTATAATTTAGCCTAAAAACATGGTAAACCAAAGGTTTATCACAACATACAGCACCGACAACTGAACCAATAACACCAAGGTGAAGGATATATAGCATATTCCCCCAGGCACACCTATCAACCCCTCTAAACGTAACAGACCCTTGGTCGACGGGTTATGATTGATGCCCATTACGCTAGGCCCAACCAATGTTCTTTCATACGTTGGTGATTCTAACCTGTTTGAATGGGTGCAAAAGTTTGAAGCAACAATGATTGTACACGGAGAGACATATCCCCTCATGTGCATAACCTTCCCCACTCTCCTCGAAGGCAGAGCCCTTGGCTGGTACGCCAAACTTCCAACCGGATGTATCTCCACCCGGGATGACTTAGCATCCAAGTTCAAAAATCAGTTCTCAGCAAGTCGCCCAGCACCAAAGTACGTACACGTGCTGGAGAAAGTACGTCAGCAACCTGGAGAAAGCCTTCGGTCATTCTTCGACCATTTTGATAAAGAAGTTGTATCAATAAAACGATTAGACCCGAAAGTTCAAGTGCATATCCTCTTTTCCGTCCTACGACAATGACCATTTGCTTACGAACTAGCCCGCCATGAAGTTACAGATATTGATGAAGTCAAACAAAGGGCATAAGTTTTATGAGGATAAAAGAATAAAAAGGTAGCAGGAGAAAAGTTAACATAGCAAGTGAAGGAAAACCCAGAGGAGACAATGTAAGAAAACCCAACAGAAACAGTGAAGGAAAGTCTAGCCAAAATAGAAAGTCACCTGGACGAGATGACAAAAAAACCCTCAGTGTTAGGCATAACACCGAGGCCAATTGTACCCCGCTCCTCAGTTGCAGGTCAGAAAAAGTGATACAGACGTAATTCCATGAGAATTAGCCCGCTAACAGACCCCAAAGAGAGGAAACCATATACTATAATTTTCACAAAATGTACGGACATTCCACTGAAGCATGTTGAGGCCTCAATCGAGAAATTAAACTCTTAATTGAGAAGGGCATCCCCCAACAGTACACCCAACAAAGAGAATGACGTCGTTGGAATGATAGATACAAAGAGCAAGAATAGATGATATAGGTGTGATAAAAGCTCATTTTCTGGTAGACGTAAAGATGAAAGAAAAGACTACCAAAACCAAAGATGAGTCAAAGAGGTTAAGATGACCACCTCTAAACCACAAGGGCGAATGGAAAAAGAAACAAGCAGAGCTCCTAGCAAGCACAGTCATCATGAAAGTGAAGGCTCCGTCATAGTCAGCCATGAGAGGATAAATATGATTTCCCGCGGACCTGGCAGAAGAGGAGAAACAGCTAGCGCCAGGAAGAAGTATCTCAAACAATGTTTGGCCGTAACAGGTAAACTGATCGCCAAGAACAAAAGCTCCAGCCAACCTAAGAAACCCAAGATTAGGGGTGTAAATGGGCCAGGCTGAGCCGGGCTTTGACCTTCTTGGCCTAAGCCTATGTAAAAAAAAAGTTGAGCCTATCTGGCCTATCGGCCTATCAAAGGCTTCGCTTATAAGCCAAGCCTGCTCTATTTTTAAAAAATGAAAGGCCTGCTATGGCCTATAGGCCTTGTAGGCCTACCAAAGAGTGATTGAGTTATTTTCTGGACAAAGATTGTAAAGTAATAATTGGGAATCGTAGACCATAAATATATCAAATTTTGTGGACCCCCAAGCTCATAAAATAAATATATATAAATCTTGAATCCATCAACAGAAATAGATATATCCATCAACAGAAATAAATATATCAAATTTTGTGGACCCCCAATTGGGGAGTTGTTGAGAAAAAACAACGAAGCATAGAAACAGATTTGATAGAGCAAAGGAGCAGCACAAAACTGCAACCTGGCACATGGTTATACAACAACAAAATGTTATCTCCAGTTCCATGCTTTTACAACACATATCCAATGGATCACTTACAAATACAAATTAAATATTAAACAACTCCTGAAATATTGTCATTGCATACCCAAGTTTAAATGTAAAAAGGTTAAGAGATACCGATCATATTCTCAAAGTGAAATTGTTCAGCAAAAATAGAATCTAATCGGAATTACAGAACTTGAAGGTTCTATTCGGCTAAATCTTGGATTCCTCCAAGAAACACGTCCTTGCATGTGCCTCCTAAAAACTTGGAAAAACTAAAAACTGAAAAACTAAAAGTTCAAAAGCTTGCTTGCTGTCCATCAGATTCATGCTTCATCCAACGATCTACAATTTGTCACATCACCCATTTCTCACTCTTGTGCTTCCATGTTATCACATACATGGCAAAGGGAAATTACAATTCTACCATTAATAACTCAATCAAGACAAGGGAAACGAAAGTATTATTGAAAGATGCTTCATCAATAACTTCATAAACCAGCAACAACAAGGTACCCATTACTCCACGATGTTAAGCTGCATCAGCAATCAGCATGTAACATTACATGACAAAAATTACATGACAAAAAACTGTAGAAATTTACATCTACCTGTAAAATCCTTTAAAGCAATGAAACAGAGGCAACACAGGTTCGTCAACCTAGCCATACAAAAAAAAGTATCATAAAGGTTAAGAAAAATTAAGAAGGGAACCAACTATAAATTCAAACAAGCCCAAGCAATATATGAGAAAAAATAGCTATAATATACGTAACCTCATTAGACTATGTAAACATTAATGATTCAGTGAAGGTTGCAGACTTGCAGTGAATCAGTGATCATTTAGTTGTCAACAGAAACGACAATAAAAATATGACATCAACTATGTACAGATAAACAATAATAGAATGGTCAACAAGCTTGCTGTTACTCTCTAGTTAGTGCCTTCAACTTGCAGACCAAGTTAGGATTTAGGATTTGCTCCGTGAAAATGAGTTTCTACTCTTCAGATTTATAACATACAGACCATATTTAGGATTTAGGATTTGCTGTGGAGATGCCATATTTAAATATTGTTAACTTGGATTTGTAACATACAGACCAAGTTAAAATCCTAAATCCTAATATCAACGTGCTCTAAATTAATTTGTCTATAAAGTAAGTAAATAAGAGTATTTCTACTCTTAAGTTTTAGTTATTAAAAATCACAATACATTTTCAATTTAATTTAAAAAAATGGATATATGTTGGTTTGTGATTCCTGATTACTGCATTTTCATGCTCTATGATGAATGTCAGAGTACAGAGTGTAGCGAGTCACAGAGCAAAGTGCAGAAACTCATTCCAAACAGCTGAT